TAGCTGTTGCTGCTTCTAAAAACTGGGAATTACATCAGTTGGATGTTCACAATGCCTTTCTTCATGGGGACCTTCATGAAGAGGTGTACATGACTTTACCTCCAGGCTATTCTACTCCTGATCCAACCTTGGTCTGTCGTCTTAAAAAATCTTTGTATGGCCTTAAGCAGGCACCCAGGTGTTGGTTTGCCAAACTTGTTAGTGCTTTAAAAGGTTATGGTTTCACTCAGTCCTTTGCAGATTATTCTCTTTTTACACGTGCTACTGACTCTGTTCAGTTGAACGTCTTGGTGTATGTGGACGACCTTATTATTTCTGGCAATGATTCAGTGGCCATTAATTCTTTTAAATCTTATCTCAGTGACTGTTTCCATATGAAAGATCTGGGGAAACTGAAATATTTTCTTGGCATTGAGGTTGCTCGGAGTTCTTCTGGGTTATTTCTCACTCAGCGAAAATATGCGCTAGATATTATTACTGAGGCTGGTCTTCTTGGCGCTAAACCTGCGGCTTTCCCTATTGAACAAAATCATAATCTTGCTCAGGCCTCAGGTCCTTCTCTCACGGATCCTGAACCATATCGTCGCTTGGTGGGACGCCTCGTTTATCTGGCTGTTACCCGTCCAGACTTGGCTTATGCGGTTCATATTTTATCTCAATTTCTTCACAGCCCACGTCTAGATCATTGGCATGCTGCTCTACGGGTTGTTCGATACCTAAAAGGTTCCCCAGGTCAGGGAATTTTGCTTCGGGCTGATAGCGATCTTACTCTTACCGGATGGTGTGATTCCGATTGGGCCGCCTGCCCCCTTACTCGGAAATCCGTATCTGGTTGGCTGGTTTTTCTTGGACACTCTCCGGTTTCTTGGAAAACTAAAAAGCAAACAACCGTAGCTCGGTCTTCTGCTGAAGCTGAATACCGCTCTATGGCAGCTGCCACTTGTGAATTAAAATGGCTCAAAGCTCTTCTCCTTAGTTTGGGAATTCATCATACCCAAGCCATTCCTCTATTTTGTGACAGTCAGTCTGCCTTGCATATTGCTCGGAATCCTGTCTTCCATGAGCGTACAAAACATATTGAGGTGGACTGTCACTTCGTTCGTAATGCTATTCAAGACAATCTGATTGCTCCCAATTATGTACCGACTACTATTCAGCTGGCAGATATCTTCACCAAAGCCCTGGGCAAGACGCAATTTCATTTTCTCCTACGCAAGTTGGGCATTCTTGATCCCCATGCTCCAACTTGAGGGGGGTATTACGGGATATACTATATTATTTATGTTAAGCAAATAACTTGTAATTATTTCTTTTTTTTTTTTTTTGCAAAGGAAAAGTTTAGCTATTATTAATCAAATCATCGTTCAGAACATGAGAAATAAAAGACGGTGGTAGGGGGGTGGCGGTAGGGTATGGTGGATCAGGGTGGGGCCGGGGTGGGGTAGGGTCATTATAGGGAAAAATGGGTATGCGGGGTGGGTTGGGTGGGTAAGGTAGGGTAGGGTGGGGTAGGGGTAAGGTACGAGGATGGAGGTACTGGAATGGAATCGACATCGGAGCGGGACCGGACCCACCACTAGGTGTAAATATGCAAATTCATTGCAGCGGCACTGTAGCATATGCGTTTTCCAAATTTGGAAAACTAGTAAAAGTCATTTCTCCAAATCATTAAGGAAAAGAGAGACATGTCTCTTTTTTTCCGTTTTGGAAAACGATTTGGTAAACGCGTTTTTCTTTTTTCCTTTCTCCAATTTTCCAGGAATTTCTTTGGTAAACACGTTTCCTGTTTTCTGTTTTCCAGTTTTCCAGTTTTCTGGAAAACTGGAAAATATCTCTGTTGTAAACAGGCCCTAAGTATTCACATATTCTCCTTATACTTTAGAGTTCACAAAAATACGGTTTACATTTTCTTAGAATAAGTCAAAAGACCGAGTCCCAATACTAGATGTAAGCGTTTAATGACATTGGTTATTATGGTTCAAGTTCATTGTGTTTCATTTGATATAATATAATAATAATAATGCATGGATCACATCCAGCCATCCAGGGATGAGAGCACTATTAACCTACCATTTTTTCCAAAAAAAAGACACATCCGATCTAAACCACACATTCACTTGATTAGTGGCACATGCCGTTGTAGAACAAAAAGGTGTGAAGGGCATTAATCTGGAATATAAGGAGTGAGTAGCTGTTAGAGTTGGTAATAAAAGACTAATTAATATCCAACATAACGTGACCTTATCTTAATTGCTTGTCCTCAGAACTTATGCTTGGTGCCTTTAATTTGTCTATCCACACTATTGTTTTTGTTTTTGTTAGTGCTAAATTGCTAATATGTCAAATTCCTTTCCGGCACCCAAATGGGTGGGGACTGGGGTTGGATTAGGACTTGTGACTTGTGAGGTTGCCCAAACCTTTTCTCTCCTCCGGCCACCTTGTGCTTGCTCACCATTCTCGAATAATGAAAAAAAACATGTCAATGCTTATGTTTAATTTAAAGCTACCACCTCTTTCTCGGGAATAAGTTTCCACTTTCTATTTATGGATGTCCCCAAAAGAAGTTCCAATTTAATTTCTATAAAAGGAAACCACTTTTAAAAAAAGTCAAAACAAAACTTTATGTTACATAAATATGTGTGTATGCCAAACCGGGATCGAAACTCCATTTTGGGACGGAGGGTATTATTAATTTTTTTTACAAAAATGAATACAAAATTAGTAAAGCATTGATATAATAAAGGAGGAAATTACACTTAGCCTCTCAAATAGTTTACACATTGAAATGTATTAATCGTGTTTTTGAGTTGGTAAATGTCACCCTTCAATTGTCTGAATTGTTGTGAAGGTGTTCTCGCCATTAAATCGGAACTAACACCATTAAAAAGTTTATAACTTTCGACACAATTAGTCGATTAGGTTATTAACTTCAGACACAGTTAAAAATCACTTCGTATATGGTTTTAAAAATTCTTCACACCAATATTTTTTGTCTCTAAAGTTACAACAAAAGTAAAAAAATATCGATCGAAACAAATTCAAATTAATAGACAAAAATGTATGATAAAGACAAAAAATGTTTCTATATAGCAAAAGAATTTTCCACCAACATTTTTGGTAAAACTAGGCCACAAAGAAAAAATATCGATCGGAAAAGTTCAATTTTACAGACTATAAACGTTTGGAACAGATAAACATCTTTTCAAACAAATTAAAGTTGTATCCTTTTGTACGCATTTCCAAAATAATTTGCACTACCATTATTTGCTTATTTAATGTGAGGCCACAAATTCAATTTTATGTACAAATGTACAATAAATGACTGGGCAAAAATTGTACGATAAGTATAATTTTTGTACACACATTCAAATCACATTGTGTGACACTGACAGTGCCAATAAAAGTTACAGAATCGAACTAATATTACAATACCTAGTATAACTTTACTTTTAAAGTAAATATACGAAGTATATTATTTTATACATTTTTTGATCATATATTATTTTAAACATTAAACCATGGCATTAATTATAAAAACAAAAGTAGATTTCAAAATGGAAGCACATGATCTGCCAGGGGCGGAGCTAGGGTTCTGGGCTAGACTGGGCCGGTACAAAAAAATTTTTTGGTATTTTTTACACGAAATTTTTTACACTAAAAATACAAGCATTTTTAAAATTTGGGCTGGGTCAGGATCAGGGATGGCCCTCCCCTAGCTCCGCCCATGCCATCTGCCCGAATCCGATAGAATTGGCAGTGAACTATGGACCATATTAATTTCAGAAATTTTTCTTGGACACACATTTTGCAAACATCATATTACACACGTTAGTGAGTAGTTATTTTTTTTGAACAACATATTCACAGGACACTATGTTGCCTGTGAACAGGTCATTCACAAATAAAAAAATTAATGCTCATAATAAGTCATAAATATGTGTAAAATGACGTCTATAAATAGTTTTTTCTATTGATTTAGGGTGATCCGGCCAAATCGGTTTCAAGCAGTTAGGACTCAGGATAATCCGGTGCGAGTTGTAGGTAATCGGTATACCGCACTTACCATACCAAAAAACTCCATATTCCTATTAGTTAGTGCAGCTCAAAAAATAACCGCACTTACCACCACACTTAGTGCAGCATGAACTAACACAAAACATTTTTTTAATAATTAATTAAGTAAATCAAAACAAGTTTAAGCATGTGATGACAATCACACTGGTTTGAATTTTAGTGCATTGACTCAAGCGAGATGATTTATGTTTTTGTGTTTTCATTTTTTATTTTTAATTTTGATTATATTTTGTGTGTGATTGTGTGAAGTGGAATCCAATAGGAAAAGGATGGAGGGAACATAAAGGCAATAAACATTAAAGTTGAAAGTATGAAGAATTGAATATCATTATATAAAGTGGCTCTAGTCAAATCATCAGCTCAATGGCAAATCATATCAATGGACATTTTACCTTATATAACCAATTAAGAGTGCATGCATGGTGTGTAAAGGGCAAATGACTTAATCATAAGAACCTTATCTTAAGTGCTCAAGTTTAGTATAAGCATGTATTCCTAACAAGAAATAAACTTACATGAGTGCTCCATGAATTAAGTACGTCCTTAGCTAGTTAGGGTGTCGAAAATATAACACATCGCTCAATATAAGAGTAAAATCTTCTAATAAAGTAGAGTATTGTAAATTTAAATTGATTTGTATCTACATTGCTATTAAGTCCAACTATTTAAAATTGGCATTTCCAGATTTACCCATTAATTCTACTTTTAATTGTTTTATTAAAACACTGTAATGATAAGGATAAATTATCAAGTATAAGGAAATCATCATCTAGATTAAACACTATTAGTTTAAAATTTTAAATAAAGAGAACAAATTATGCATACCGGGTTCTCATAATCCGGATTAAACATCACATCTCATTGTTTCAAGGACATATTAAATCTACTTTTGTACTAATAAAGTATAGGAAATTCCCCAATTTGGAATAAAATATTGAAGAAGTGCAAAATAGAAGTAGTTTCAAAATTCCCCAAACATGAGTAGTTTTCAGGTTTGGACATGGATACCACTGCATGGGTTTGAGACGGCTCTCTTTTGCCCATGGTTATACAGAACTTGTTATCCGGTGAAATTTCGGAGAGTGCATGTTTTAATTTTTTACTCCTTTCTTCCCAGTGATTTATATATTACGGAGTATTATGAGATGAGAAATAATTTTATTTTATAATTTTAAATATGACACAACAAATTATGTTTTCAACAATATTTAGCTTCTTCTCTCTAGGGTTTGGTGATACCGCCGCCTAGTGTAGCTCTCGCCTCTCGATTTTCCTTTTTTTCGTTCTCAGCCTTTGCTTTAGACTAGAACGGGAACACAGGTGGGTGCTTGGTTTCTCTCGGCAATCTTCGAAGACTCTAGCGGTCTAATTTTCGGATTGGCTTCGTTTCATCTTTTGGGACGAGCGAAGGTTTCATACGCAGGGAGGAAATTGTGCAGACAGTTTTTCTTCCAAAAAGCTATGAAGGAAGTGGTGGAGCAGTATAGAAGAATGGTTGAGGAGGAAGAGGTTATTGCTCCAGCCGCAAAAGAGGCAGAATTTCCGGTGGTGGGAGTCATTCGTACAGACCGGAAAGTTAGATTCCAGGCAGTACATGACCTGTTTGCATCACTCTAGAGGCCAGGACAAGGAATGGCTGTACAAAAAATTGATGAAAAGAGGTATCTATTCACTTTTATCATAAAGTTGATATGAATCGTGTTTTGGAGGATGGTCCTTGGCTGTTTGAGCGGAATCTATTATTGCTAAAGGCGGTTGGTCCTAATGATTTACCACATAAAATGAATTTGTTTGAAGCAGAGTTTCGGGTGCAAGTGCACAATGTTCCATATAAGTTTATGAATGTAGACACTGCTAGAAAGGTGGAAATTACATTGGGGAATTCATTAGTTTTGATGAAAGTCACTTTAAGGAAAAATGGAGTTCATACTTGAGAGTTAGGGTGAAGATGGATGTGAGAAGGCCTCTGAAAAAGGGATCTACTTTGACCAAGGGGGGTGAAAGACACTGGGTAGATTTCAAGTATGAAAAATTACCGAGTTTTTGTTTTATCTGTGGAATCATGGGACACTCTGAGAAATTTTGCCCATTGAAATATGTGGAAGATATTACTCTGGAGAAAACTTTTAGTGCTGATCTTAGAGCAGGTGGAGGGAGAAAGGCTAGTCCCACAAGAGGTAGTAATTGGTTTGGTAGATAAACAGGGAGGTCGGAGTCATCACAGGAGGCCTTATCAAGAAGATGAAGACATTATGAGACAGGAGCGCATGGGAAGTATAGCTGAGACAGAAAGTAGCGTCACAAAGGATGAGGGTAAAAGCAGTGCATGGGAGGTCTCGATTGACCAGAAGCGCAGGAGAGTCTGGAAGGATCCGGCACATGAAAACAACTCAGGAGAGGAGATGGCATTGGACAAATCAAAAAATGGGGAGGAGGCGGGTACGTCTGAGTTCCTAGACCCGCCTGATGTGTTCGTGAGGTTGCGGTTGCAGAAGTTCCACTGCGGTGTTTATTTTCTTGTTGTTTTTTATATTTCGTTTCATGTTCAGACTGTTGCTTTTGGTTTTTGTTTTGTTTGATTTTGTAAGACTCTTGCATTAGGCTCGGGTGATGAGAATTCTGCAGTAACCATTGTTGGCTCAATTATGCTAGTTTAGGATCAGCGAGTTATACTGCTTTCTTGAAGGTGGTTAACTCAGAGTCTGGCCCAAAGGCGGATGGTTATCGGTGGTACTGTTGTTATTTTAGATCCTTGCTGAATGCTTTTATTCTAATATAAGCCCCCTTCATCCAAAAAATAAATAAATATGACAGTAGTAATATGTTTAACTTATTAATTGATTATTCTTGAGTTTAATTATTACACTGTGTACCTACCGATACACAATTTATGCGCATTAACCTTCTATAGTTCAAAAACTACATTAAAATAATAATGTACTATGATAAGTCATGCATATATTACTCTAGAAGATATTAATTGTTGCGTAAAACATAAGCATTTATTACTATTTTTATAATTTTTATAATATTTTGACATCAAGAGAAAATTATGTGCATGTTGGATCATAACACTAAGAAATTATGTGCAGACGGCCCATCTGCAATTATTTTGTTTGTTTTGTTTTTCTAATCAGCTACTTACCATTCTTAATTCGGTTTCATACTCCCATTTCATGTTCTGTACACACCTTCTCGATTGAGTGAATAAAATGTCATTTTTTTAAAAATAGTGTTATGTATATGTGCATGTTTGATATTTATTCTTTTACACAGGAAGAATGTGGTAATATTTTTACTTTATTGATTGGTGATTCTGCAGTTTATTTCATTGCGTGGAAAACCCAAATATGTAAGTTATGCACATTAAAATTTTCAAATTGAAGTCTCATTTATAAAGACAAGTCATGCGTATATTACGCATAAAATAAATAGAAGTCTTCATTATTCTTAGAGAAAATTGGGTGTATGTACACATTTTAATGTGTAACTTTAAGTTAATATCATGAGTTAGTAAAAATAAACTAAATAGCCCTTAAGAAAACCCACGATAAAATTATGCCCCATATAAGCTTATGAGGGTTTCCTTCTCGAACTCTAACTATCCCGCTATATCCGTACCTTCCATCCACAAAAGTTGGCACTGCACCTCTATGGAGAAAGCACTATATTCACTTTTAATTCTCAACCATTTTGATGTAAAACAATTCCAGTTAATCATATTTACTCTCATGGTCAAATGGATACGTAATAGAAGTACTTAAAATTTGGAGTGTGTGCGCTTTAATATTTCTACTTTTGTGTTTGGGGGTTACGCACTTCCATAATTCCATTTTCATAAGTAGAAAAGACAAAACAAAAAATATACGGAGTATATATTTGATCATATGTAAAATTGGAATTATAGTGCTCTTTGACATTCTGGTAATAAATGGAGTTCTTAGTGCTTTTTGAAAAAAGTATTTGTATCCTTTTAGAATCTAGGGTAGCAAAAGAGACTTTGGGTTTTTTTCTACGTTATTCTACCATCGTGAATTTAGCCATTACGTAAACAAAATTAATCTGCGGTATAACATTGTAAGTTGTAACCAACTGTAATTAGGTTTGAGGATAGATACGGTATTTACATGTTTATCGCTTTTATATTAGTAAGAAAATTGTTATCTACTTCATTAAATAAAATAGATGCTATTAACTTCGCTTGACCTATTTTTTATGGTTATGTAGCCATTTTTCCCTTATTCTTATAATATTTAGATATCTAGAGGAATTTATGTGCATGCTCGAGCGAAACACTAAGAATTAAATTATCAGAGATTTGTATTTGTCATTCTAATCTAGAATATGATGTGTGTAGTTATCTATAATGTACGTAAGAGAATTTTGTCGCATTGTTTTTTTTGTTTTTTGTTTTTGTTTTGTTTTTGCTCCGGAGGGCGTCTGGGGGATGGAGGGCCCTGGAGTAAACTGAGTTGAAACTTACTCCATTGAATTTCGAACTCGAGACCTCCCATAAGGGAGAGTGAGTCGGCGACCAGCTGAGTTGGACCGCTTCCTCATTTTGACGCATTGTTTAAAGGGAAATTATCGTTGACCTCCCTTGAGGTTTGATGTATTATCAATCACACCCCTATACTATCAAAAATATATAATCTTACCCCCCTCCCTATCTATTAATGATGGTTAAATAACTCTTAATATATATTTAGAGCAAATTATAGATATAATTTCATAACCTTTCATTATGCATGTCGCTTTTAATACTGTAATTTTATTCAATCACAAATTTGGTCGGGTAATTAATAAATTTGTCCATACTAAATACATTTTTATCAAAAGTCGAACAAAATAAAAAAAACAAAAACTGACCTCACTTTAGGTAGTTCGTTTTATGCCTTTGAATTTGTAAGGGAAAACTATCAAATAAGCCCCTGTACTATACCGAAAAAGTCGATTAGGCCCTCGTACTTTACAAACACTCAATTAAGTCCGTGAACTATTAAAAAACGTTCAATTAAGCCCTTTTGGTCGGTAAGTAATCGGTTTCCCGGTTAAATGTAACTCGTTTCCCGACAGCCGCCGTTGCCAGGGTTCGAGCACATCATCGCCGTTATCGCCGTTTAACCGAGAAACCGGTTACTTACTGACCGAAAGGGCTTAATTGAACGTTTTTTTAATAGTTCAGGGACTTAATTGAGTGTTTGTAAAGTACGAGGGCCTAATCGACTTTTTTGGCATAGTACGGGGGCTAATTTGATAGTTTTCCCAATTTGTAAAGTTAGTAAATTTACTCAATTGAAAATGATCAAAATAGGCTAAATTTGTCAAAAATTGAAACAAATCAACTTAAATGAACCAAACCCACTCAAAAATGAAGTTTACTACTCGATTTTACCATTAAAAATGCAAGAAAATTTCCAATTTGCACTCTAGACACTCTTTGTTATCACTGGAAATCAGATCATTATAGGTATAATAACAGCTTGTAAATTAATATTTGACAAAATATGAACATGTTTACATGTAAAAATACTGGTAAAACAATTATAGTTTAGGACGGGTTGCACACCCAAACTGGTTAGTGCTAAATAATTAGGGCGACCCATGACCTTATATTCGGTTCCAATCTCCTAATTGGTCAAGATTCGCTCCCAATAATTCAAATATTTTAACTACCTATTTTTCAACTTGTAAATGGGCTATAACTCATCTTAAAATATTCTCAATGGTTTTAATGAAAAAAAATGAATGTGGTCAAAACAAGGGCTCCAATCCCGATCCCAAAAAGTGAGGCACGAGGCCTCTTTTTCACCGGTCTGGTATCGGTCCCGATCTGAATTCTTAATTTAAAATTCGGCCATTCTCGAGATCGGGCCTTTTCCTCCCCGAATATGAATCACAAAAGTAGGTATTTTGACCACTTTCCATATGAATCAACAATAGGTAACAATAGTCTCCTAAAAGTTCTTCATCAACATCTGTTTTAGGTATAAAATAATATTCCTCGTTATCAGACATTTTTCCCTCGTTAGAAAAGTTTCACCAAGATTTCTACAATCTCAGATATATTTTCGAACTTTTAAAAGTAATAGATATTTATTGTTTTAAGTTTGTACCTTTCGATTGTGTTTGCTACTAGTTCTATAATTTTACTAACATGTAGATGTATTTAAGTACCTAATAAATTTGTCAATAGTAAGGACTATTTCATCGGAAAGTATGTGTTCCTGCAAAAAAAAAGCACTTTCTGGTAGAAAGATTCTTAATACAGGTAAATTTATTAAGTGTCAGATTAAATCTGCAAGTGAGAAAATTTATAAAACTAAATTTATACTTTTGCTAAACGTAATTATGAGTTATTAAATTTTCATTAAAGGATAGGGAGGGGGGTAAACGCATATTTTCAAAAGTGTGGGGGTCTAAGTGATAATACATGAAACCTCGAGGGAGGTCAATGATAATTTCCCATTGTTTAAATCAAAATAGGATTATGTTTATAATTTATATATTAGGAGGGCTCTCTAAAATTAAACATTTACTCAAACTCAGCTTTATTCACAAAATTTAAGAATGATTTATAACTATATCATAAAGTCACATATGAAAAAATTTAGAATATGACTAAGAGTATTTTCTTACTTATTTAGTCTTATTAAAAAATGATACTGTGAAAAATTTTAACCTACCTAAGAATGAATCTTCGAAAAAAACCTAAGAATGAATCTTATTTTGAGAAAACAATAACATTACTCAAAATGGGACTAAAAAAGTTTGTAAATTCCAATATAGGACTTCCATGTTTTTATTCCCAAAATAGGATTAATTACTGTCATATTTTGGCAGTACCAGACTTCTTCCATGGCAGTATTTTCCAAATTTGGCAGTAATTAGTCATATTTTGGGAATACAAACATGACAGTCTTATTTTGGAATTTTCAAACTTTTTTAGTCCCGTTTCGGGAACTTTCCCTAGAACAATTCAAACTCCACTATGGGTGTCACAAAAAGAAAAACTCCACTATGGTATAACTTTTCATTCTCCAAAATTAATCCAGATTAAAACTAGTATCAATGAGATTAAGAGACCGTTTTGATAACATTGAAATTGGCCGAATTGATTAATTCTGCTGAGATTTATGAAGTTCTGATTGAAGTGGCCGTATTGACTGATTCTGTTGATTTAAAAAAAATTAAAATATTGTTATTAATAAAATAAATAAAAAATTATATGGAAAATAATAGCTAAAATGATCATGTACAATAACACCAACCAATACATCTAGAAAAGTAACTACAACCTTACTTTTTCATATTATTACACAATTCAACGCGTGAAATAAAAAATTACGTGTTTGGTGAAAAAGCTGGATGATAAGCCTGATAAGTCGAAAAATAGGGTCACCAAACGGACTCTAATTGGATCAGCCAAAAACAGCAAGATAGGATCATACCGATTAGGGAAATAAGTCTAGCAAATTTGTCTTTACTCCTAATTATTTACACAATATTTCACCTTAGTCCCGGAGCTTATTCGTAATTAATTTCGATTTTGGTATTCGGCCTTTTTTTTTTTTTTTTTTTTTTTTTGGGAAGGATAAAATCAATTACTATTAATCAAATCAATTATTTTTTTTTGGTATTCGGCCTTTTATTTTTCTACAATATGTATGTGACAAATGTGTATAATAATTGTTTTATTTTATAATTTATGATACTTACAAAAGTTACGAGAATTTAGTCAATTTACCATGTTAGTTTTCGTACAATTAATATATATCGTACGTCCCATAAACATGGC